GCCAGTGAATATGTTGGAGAGAGACCTTTAATTTTTATGCCTATCACCCATTTGAATTTCCAACACTGTTTTTTAAAAGTAGTTTATGTTAGCATTCTACAGAATTTCAAATTGTTGGTTAAAATAATCAGCGTCCCTACTAGGAATAATAGTATTCAGCCAAAAAGTTAAGGGCAAACCATGTTAAAATCTGTATGGCAAAGGAAATTTTCAATATGTAAATTGGCTTGGTTTGGTGGCATAGTACATATCTGTTAAAATTTAAGAAAATTAACACAGAACAGCAACAACAAAGACCTCTACTTTTGTACAGATTTTGTTGTGTTGGGTTTTTTTTCCCTTATTGTTCCATACTTTAAATATAGTTGCTATTATGCGTCATCAAGTTGAATCCAATTCCTAGCTGATCCTCTAGTAGATATTCAAAAGCTGTAATCATAAGGGAGGAGATTGCTCTTCCTTCTCCCTTGGAGGCCCTAGTAGATTCAACCCACAAGAGAAGCATGGCCTTTGGGGACTGGAGTCTCTCTGCACCCTGGAAGTCAGCTGGCTAATCTGGCGGGATAGCTGGCATCTCCATGGCGGCTCCTCTTGGCGGCAGTCAGGCAAGGGAAGTTTCTGGGGTCTTTTTTGTTGTGTGTTACTGTTCTTATTGCCCTTCAAAGGTGGATTGGCGGCCCTGACTGTTAGAGTAAGGGTAAGGAAGGGTGGAGCTAGTTTAAAGTCCTGTAGGTCCCTCAGGCCTGCAGCCCTCAGGCCAGCCTTTAATTCTTTTTGGTGAAACATTCTTCCAGGTCGTGAGACCCTGGTGTGTCCACTTGCTGTATAGAGGTAACTCGTGGTTGCTGTGAAGCCAAACACTGTGACACTGATGTGTCAAATGCGAGAATGGTTACCCATGGTGGACAGTGTTTGGTGGAGCTCCCCGATTAAAACAAGCTTGGAAGCAGGAGTGGCATCTACTTCCATAATAGCTTGCCTCCACAAACCCTATGAACCTGAAGAAAGGATGAAAGTTATACAGATGTCCAGGACTTTTGTTCATAGGGTCTCTCTGAGTTGCCTCTAACTTGACAACACTTAACCACAGCAACAGCAACATGCACTGTGCCATCAGAGTTCCCTTCAAGATGAACTAGGAGCCAAGTGGTCATACTAGCTGTGGGTGTTGGGTGATGAATCTCATTTGATACCATATGATCAAGTGCCTAGTATTCTTCCTAAAGTATAATATGCTCTCATTTATTTTCTCCCTCTACTCCTCAAAAATCCCAGAGAAATTAAATCATAAAAAACACCAGCATCATCTAGGGTACCAGCTTTATCATTCTGCTAATTGCCAATTATCAAATATTTGGTTTTGTTCTGTTTTGTTTTTTGTTGTTACCTTGTGCTTTACTAAGTGTTTTTCTATATTTTTATAAAAATACTTTCTTGAAGTGAGGCTTTGGTGGCCTAGAGGCAAGAAGTTGCACTACAATCTTTAAGGCACAGGGTTCAATGGTAAACAACATCCTTTTTGTTTTCTCCCCCTAATTTCAATTATCATTAAGGAGAAACAGCACCAAAAAGCTTCATAAATTGCCTTGTTGATATTTAATTCAACTTACATCTGTGCCTTAACAAACACCCTGCTATTTTGCCTCTTCTTAATTTATCATTAATAATAGCTAATGCTATTAAGTACTATATTCACATAGGCAATCCAATGTTTTCTTGTGATTACCTCATATGCTGATGATCACGATTATATCTCAGATAGAATGTCTTCCCTGACAAATGTGGGGTGGTTATAAGTCCCAGGTTTAAGATCTGTCTCCTCCATTTAAATGGTATGCCAGGTTTCTGTATCTGTAAAGATAATAATCTTTACCTTGGTATATAACATTCCTGGTATATAACATTTCAGGTCATTGAAATGATCACATTAATTAAGACATATAAAAAAAGACATAGGACAGAAGTTGTGTATTGCATTTGTTCCATAAATATTTGCTTCTATCATCATTATCATTTTCTATTTTTTTTCTAAATATATATTTTACTGTAACTTTTTTTGAGTCCTGGGAAAGACAGAATTTGACTCACAATTGGATCCTTGTAAATTATAATTTAATTCCCAGCTGGAAGTACAAAGAAAAGCCTAACAAGGTTTTTAACTATCTCAAAACCAAAACAAATTCTCAAATTCATTGCTTTCCTTCCAGTAGAGTTTCAGAGACTCTCATGGGAGGAGATGGTGACTTTTTCCCACAGAGCTGTTGTTGGATTTGAACCAGCAGGGAGATGCCACCTTTGGGTTTAGCAGCAAAACCTCTACCCACTAGGCCATCAGAACTCCTTTACCTCTTATAGTAGGAAAATCATAGCTAAACAGTGCTTTTATTTAGCAAAAAATAGTTTGTGAAAGGAGGGATAGTTGGGAATGGAAAGATCTATTTTTAGTAACTGGGCCAATTAGATCTGATTGAATGTTTCAAGGGGGACAAACTACCCTGAAAGCAATATAGTCTTAGGGAAGACAATGGAGGTCTCACCTTGCTTCCACTCCCCCTTGAGAGCCAGAGAATTATTGGCAAACACAGAAAATGACACATGGTGAGTAATCAACAGCTGTTCCTGAATATCGAAGTGAGAATTCATGCAGTGATGTGTAAAGATGAAGAATTTTGCATCTGTATTCACAAGAGATGTTGGTCAAAAGTTTGCTCTCTCATTTTTCTTTTTTTATAACACGTTTGCCCGATGTGGGTATCTGGAGTATGATGGCCTCCTAGAATATCTAGAGTATGATATCATTGGTGTCTGAAGAATGATGGCCTCAACGAATGGATTGGGAAGCATTCTCTCCTCTGGGATGTTTGGGAAGAGCTTTTATAGAAATGTTCATTTTAAATGTTTGGTCAAAGTCATCAGTGAAACTATCTCAGCCCCAAATTTTACTGTGGGAAAGGTTTTAACTCTAAAATCACTAAATAAAGCAAGCAAACAAAAACCATAGCAACAGGGATATTTATAGTATATATTTCTTCCTGAAGAAGCTTTGATATGTTTTTTAGATGTTACCCTTTTCTTCAGATCTCTGGTGGCCTAGTGGGGAAGGAGTTGTGCTGCCAACCCAAAGAGAGATGGTTCAAATCCAAATCCACCAGTTGCTCCTCGGGAGAAAGATGACAATCTCTTTCCGTGCAGTCTGGATTGTTGTTAGTTAGGTGCTGTCAAGTCAAGTACAACTCATAGTGATCCTGTGAACAAGAGACCTGAACCCTGTTCTATGCTGTGTCATCTTCAAACTTCCTGACACATGAGAGCCCATTGGGGTAGTCACCATGTCAGTCCACCTGGTCAACGGTCTTCCTCTCCTTCACCAACCCTCCACCCTTCCCACCATCATGTCCTTCTCAAAGGAATAGCATCTCCTAGCAACATGTCCAAAGAATGTGAGACGAAGCCTCATCATTCTTGCCTCCAAAGAGCACTTAGGCTGCACCCTCTTTAAGACTTAGCTGTTTGTGCTTTTGGCCGTCCACGGGAGGCCATAGTTATTGACTATGCAGTGTGTAGTGTTTGAAAACGCACTGGAAGGTCAGCTATAAGTTGTTTCCAAGTTCACAACAATGAGAAAGAGAGAAAAGACCTTCCTTACTTTGTACTCTCACCCATGTCCCGGATTAGGAAGTCTTTCCCACCGTTGCGGTTAAAGGACATCTGTGAGCAGGAGGCACTGTCCCTTTCCACTTTGGGATGGCTTTACCTGAGTCGTTTCCCCACACATAAGTGATGCATGAGGGGATCCTCTGCAGATACCAAAATTCATTCCAAATGGCTCTCTCTTCTCCAGAACTCTGTTCTGCAAAACTTCTCCACCTGTGCTTCCCTGAACTCCTAGGTCCGTGTCTTGAAGATAGGGACAGACTTGCTCTTACCACAATCTAGAAACTCCCCAGGGAGTGAGCTAGGGATATTGGAGTTTCCTTTTTCTCTAGAATTAGCTTAGTAGCATATGAGTTGTGCTTATCCACTAAAGGTCAATAGTTCAAATCTACCAGTTTTTCCATGTGAGAGAGATGGATAGTCTTTCCTATAAAGACTGATAGTCTTAGAGGCCCAATGGAAGGCAGCTTTCATTCTACAGCAGTGCTTATCTCTCTAGAGCCACTGTCCTTTGAGGTCTAGTATCTTCAGTGTCATTGTGTTACAGATTTCGCCAGTGTTATAAATATTTCAGCAGGGATTGCAAATCTGTTTCTTGTGTCTCCATTTTACCAAGCACAGGGACCAAATGCTCAAGCAATAGATTAATAAAAATAGTTCTGGTAGCTTATTGGTAAGTAGTTGCACTGTCAAACCCAAAATATATGGTTCGGATCCACCAACTACTTCGTGGAAGAAACATGGGAAGTCAATTCGCTTGTGAAGTACTATGTCTGAAAACTCAATGAGGGGTCAGCTGTGAGATAATCATATATAACAACAATGTATGTGTGTGTGTGTATACATATATGTGTGTGTGTGTGTGTGTGTGTAGATTGTTTTTATTTTGAAGAGTCCTGTTGGCATAGTCTTTAGGGAGTTGCATTGCTAATCCAAAACCATGTCTCTGGGAGTTGAATCCACCAGCAGTAACTTGGGAAAGAGATGGTTAATTTCCACCTGTGTGATTTAGAACCTCCCAGAAGCCTGCTGGAGGGCCACTGTGAGTCTGTTCAACATGAAGGCAATACATTTGAATTTTGAGTTTGATTTATCTTTAGGTAAACAGTTTTGAGCTGTAGGAATGTGGAAACACTCAGTTAAAAGAACTAACTGAAACATTAAAAATGAAATTTTATTTACAAGAAAGTTTAATAACTGTATAGTGCTTCCTAGCTGCCTTTAAAATATCCAGTAATAAAAGTGAGGATCTTCAGTCTGTGCCAGTAAAAGATTTATTATACATCTCTATTAATTTATTGTTTAGGAATGAAGGCTGACCCTTGTCTCTTATTTCTTCTCCTCAGTGCCAGATGAAAGCAATGTTCACACATTGGCTGAACACAAGGCAGGTAAGAAATTCCTTGTAACTTACTTTATATCTCCCTTCCTGGAAATCTCTGGCTGTGTATGAGTAGCAGTTGGAATGCATTTCCATCCACTAGTCATTGAAAGACTTGCTAATTAATACATGAGATGTCTCTGACTTCCACAAAGATGAATTACTGCTTGGCTGTGTGTACAGTGGCATAATGTATGCTGACTCAAAATATTGAAGAGCAAAGTATCAATGTGTCCAAAAAAGGAACTGTAAAACCAAATTGTTAAACCTGTATGCCAACTGAGCACTTAGGACAAGAAAAATGATAAAGAAAACCCAAGAAAGTTTGAAATCTTTTCCAAGAGTGATTTACACATTAAAGCAAATAGAGCAAAAGTTTACTGAGTAAGAAAGATGTGTTTATTTCTTTCTTCTCAAGAAAGAAGAGAGTTGTTGGCCTGTTATCAGAGGAGATTATGCAGAACTGGCTGGCTAACATTTCTTTAGATTCATAAATAAATTATCAGAGGTTGTTTAGAGCATCCACTAAAGTTGTCTAGGCCTTTCCTCAGGATGTCTTTAAGTGTCTGCAATCCAGAGATCCAAACGTTTCCTTCATTGCAAAATAAAATGTCTTTTATCCCTCTGCTCTTCACTCATTATGATTTTTCACATTTGTTGAAAAGACTTAATGCTGTTAGTCTATGAAAACTGTAGTCGTCTCTTTCCTCTAGGAAGGCATTGTTTTGGGAGAGAACTTTCCATTTTACTCTTAAGAATGACCATTCCTAACAACAGAAGGGTTGTGAGTTGTTGGTGCACTTCTGTTTCTAAAACAAAGAAGTCTTTTCCCATCACCCAGCATCTCCTGTGTTTATGTGCCAATTATGTTTTCATCAGTAAGTGGCCTTGATGCCTCATTACCTCCATCATGTTCCAGGGCAAGATTATGATATTTTTCCTTTTCTTCTTTCTCTAGACTCTCTAGTGATAACAGCGGGAAAGGGCTGGTTCACAACTCTTAGATTCCTCCCCACTCCCTCATTGTTCCTCCTAATAAAGAGCCCAAAAGGGTAAATCACTGGGAAATAAGAAATTTCTGTGGAAGTGATAAATGGCCACACACTGCTTGTTCTCATCATCCTCTTGCATTAAATGCTCTACCACTGAAAATTTTTCAGGCTTGAGGAAGGTCTTGTGACCAAGGAGCCAAAGGATAGTCTGTTTTGCTTTCATCTGAAATGTTTAGTACTGCTTTTGGGTTTTATGCATATTAATACTCTTATATTACTGTCTTTGGACTAGGGTAAAAAAGTTTGAACATTTTACTTCAAGGTGGAAAAAAATTGCTAATCAGTTTGAGTTTTTATAATTGAACAAAAAAACCAAGATTTCTAATCTTTTCCCAGAAAACATCTCTTATATTTGGCTATGTCAGCTTATTCGTTAGCAAATCACTTGATAGCCAGTAAATAAAAATTATTTTTGTTCTTTTAAATTAAGAAATTATTAGTTTAGTATTTTGTTGTTGTTAGGTAACGTTGAGTCAGAACCAACTCTTTTTTTTTTTATAAATTATTTGTGTGTGTGTGTGTGTGTACTGTCAAATCAGATCTGACTGGTACAGAAGGAGATTGTCCCTCCTTCGCTGGCCTAGCATCTGGTGGATTCGCCTCTGGGATTGTAGTTGCAGCTCCTTACCACTAGGCCACCAGAGCTCCCCTTAGAACCAACTCTTAACTGACCCTTCAGCAGGTTTTTAGAGGCTCTAAATTGTGTGGGAAGAGATTGTCTATCTTTCTCCTGTAGAGTAGCTGGTGGATTCGAACCACGTGCCTTTGGGATGGCAGCAGAACTCCTTACCATAAAACAGCCAGAATTCCTTTTATATTAGAATACAGCTATAATGTTTTAGGGAAGTTAATTGTAAGTTCCAATGAATGCTATGCTTGAACTGGTAGAGAAATAGTGCCACGGTTTTTGTATCACCTGACCCATTCATTTTAAACACATTATGATTTAGAAAAGTGTTTTGTTACTAAGGAGCTATGATTTCAATATTTTCTCCTTTCTATTTTAAATATTTTTAATTTTTTAAAAATTCTGTGTGTGTGTACCATCAAATTGGATCTGACTGGTACAGGAGGAGATTGTCCTTCCTTCTCCAGCAGAGCATCTGATGGATTCGAACCATGTACCTCTGGGATTGCAAGACCTCCTTTCTCTTTTTTTTAAAAAAATAAATGTTTTCTTTGAGCTTTTTGCTGGTGCCTGTGGGACAAATGCAGGTGCTGGAAGACAACTAGACACTTGATAACTTTGGGGTAAACATGGCATGTGATAAACCATAATCACCTAAGACTATACTGAACTAACAAAGCAGTGTTACAGAAAAGTATGCTACAGTGGTTATGAATGATACCCGTTAGTGATATACTTGCCCCTATTTTTTACATTTGTTTCTTTTGTAAAATTAGTCTTGAGTCATACTTTTTCAGTTTGCATCCCTGAGATCAGATGTAACTCCCTTATTAGTACTGGTTTTCTGTAGAGAGCTATCATGCTAGGCTTTGTGTGTGTTGGTCAGTGTTATATAGTGCCAAAGGATCAAAGGTTCTTTATATTATGGTCGCCTGTTGCAGATAGAAAATAATTTGAATGTTTTTCCTAATCTGTAATTATAATCCCAGTCTATCATATGTGTTCTCTGGCAGCTAAGTGAGGTGTCAGTTCCATGATCTTCCTTATTGCACCAGAATGAAAAGTGATCCCTCAGCTGTTGTGATATCCGTTCATTCCTCATACCTTTCCTCAGAATAGTTAGGTAAAAATTTGACATCAAATTTGCTCAGAAGAAAGAATTTCTACCACTGTCTCTTTTGAAACTATCAAATTGTGAGCAGCTTTTCCCTCTCTCCCAGACCATCAGGAAGTTAGACAAATTAAATTGTATGTGCTGACCTAAATATATCATCTTTTTTGTTCAAGATGATATTCAACATTTTAATGCATTTATTAGAGTTAAACTTTCTTCTGAGTCAGCTATTTAGTGTGCAGAGAGCCATTCTTGCCAAGTGCCATCTGTTGGGCTGGCTTGGGTACCTCCCAAGTTTGTGACAGTTTTCTTGGCACCCTCTGCTTAGCTTAATCTTTAAATGGTTGATTCCTTAGAGCTTGGGTCAAATCAAAAGCATAGGTAAGATAAATTTAAGTTTTTTCCCCAAAATGAGTCCTCCATCCTTCTGGATTCAATCAGACATATTTTTTTTTAATATTCCTCTAATGACCTATTTTATACATCTTCTTACCAAAGAAGATGGTAGAATAGCTCTCTTAATCTTTTAGAATCCTCCTCCTGTAAATGGAGTTTGTCTCTATGGGATAATGAAACCTATGCAGAGAACTTAAAGATGAAATGCATATTGTTGGCTATTTTAGAGGAGAAGAAAAAAAATGCAAGTTCTGGAGACTCTTTAAAAAATGAAGACATGTTTTTGACCTCTTTCCATTGGCTGCTCCACTAATTGAATTCTGCAAACATTCAGACTCTGGCAATGCAGGAAAGAAAAACAGCAAAATGCACACTTTAAACAATAAAGCTATTGTTTAAATGACTAAATATTCTGAAAGAACTAGAATCCAGAGGCAATGACATCAAATTTGGCATTGCCTCTTTTTTGTTACTTGTGCTTTAATTTTTACTATACTCAGAGTCATAAAGTATGTGTAAGAAGGAAATGTTTCTTACTGTTTTCTATGTCTTGAACAGATATTTAAACCAATAATTTAATTCAGATAGAATGGACTGATACATTTTCCTTTTTTTCTACCCGTGTCTTCATTTTTTTTTTGTTTTGATTTACTGCTTGGAACTGTTTTAATATGTATTGACTGTCTGCAGAGATCTTTGCTGACCCAGCTCTTTAAGATGATGCAGTACTAAAGAAAGCCGATGAGTTCTTCTTTATGAGCTCTGACATATTAATTAGCAAAATGGACTAAAAAGCTTTTCTGTTTCTATTTTAATTTCTTATATTCTCAAACACCTGTCTATATAGCTGTAAAACAGGCAAGTCTGTAAAAGTAATGGTTGGCAGTAAGTCTAGACTTTTTCTGCGACAAGTTTATCAATTAATGAGCAAGTATTCATTAACCATCTAGGGAGATTGCTGTGCAAGATACCTTTACAGTCACCAAATGTGGTTGGTATCTGTGCATCTTATTGATGAAGGAACTGGTGCTCAGAGCATTAAATATTTAGTGTTGCCACTGTTGTTGTCATTATTGTTTGTTGTCAGACTGGAGCTGACCCATAATTGACCCTCCAGTGGGTTTTCAGAGGCGGTTAATCACATGTTAGGAGATTGTCCATTTTTCTCCCATGAAGCAGCTAGTGGATTCAGACTATGTTCCTTTGGGCTTGCAATGCAGCTTCTTACCACTAGGCCACCAAAGTCCCTGTGTGCTAGACTGTGTGCTAGACTGGTAACTGGTGGAGTGGATGTATGAACATGCTTTTTCTGCAGCTGAGGCTGTGCTGTAGGCAAATTCTTGTTCCACCAGGACATGCCTATCACCTCATAGTTCCAAAAACAGAGAAGAATATTGGATACAATATAGTGTTTACCTTTAGTTCTACATGGAAATAATGACATACATCAGTGACTCCTTGTTTCCTTTTCTAATCTCTACTAGCCGACCAAGAGACAGAATAAGTACAATTCCTTTAGTATGTATCTATAATGAGTAGTATGAGAAGGTGAGCTAATTAATTAGTACAATGATTCTTGATTTTGTTTCATTCCATACACTGTTCACATGTGTGTATGTGTGTGTGAATATATAAATATGTTTGTGTGTAGATGAATATGCAGGGAGTTCTGGTGGCTTACTAGTTAAGGAAGTGTGCTGCCAACCCACAGGCACACTGTTTGTATCCACCAGCTGCTGCACAGGAGAAAGATGGTCCATTTTTCCTGTGCAACTTACTGTTGCACAGTAAGTATACTCACAGTATACTTACAATAAGTA